AGCGCCGTGGCTGGGGGGGCGGGGGACTGAGGTCATCCCCTCTCTCCGCTGAAAAGAGGCTGAAGCTGAGATAGTGGGGTGAGCAGCGGAGGGACGATTTATCCCTTCGGGCAAACGCTCTCTGTGTGTTTCTCGAACAGAGCAATCCCAAGAACACTTTCCTGGGAGTAAGTCCCATTGAATAAAATGGGATTTACTTCTGATTAGACCTGTTTGGGCTTACTTAAACATTAGCTGCGTATTCTCCTTACAGCAACCCAAATTCCTAAACCCTTTTTCGCCACACAGCTAATGTGTGCAGGTTAACTCACTGGGTAGCTACAGGTATGCAGGCCAGTTGAAAAGTAGGCGACCCATTTCTCCCCTTCTCAGTTTCGCCCCTGCCCAGTTGCATTGCACAAAATTAGTAATGCCAATTCTTTTTTCAGAGATGCTACTTCTCTGCCCTCCCTCCCTCCCTCCCTCCCTCCCTCCCTTCCTTCCTCCCTCCCTTCCTCCCTTCCTCCCTCTTTCCAGTGCATGACAGAAACCTCAGAGGTCAGAGGTGGAGCCTGGGAATTTTGGAGATGGTGTTGCTGGCACGGAATAATTGGCAGAGCAGCTCTGGAGTTTATTAGCGGTGCAGAATCCATGCTGGTTCCTTGCCAGGATGTGGTTTTATTGGCCAGACTAGCAAAACAATGGTGGCTTGCCAACTCTAGCACAGAACCACACACAGTTCTAATAGCCGACTCTCCAACCACAGCAGCCCTCTTGGAAAAGATGTGACGTTATTTGCATACCAATAAAATATCTGCTCTGAAATGCATAGGTGGGTTTTCAAAGGGTCAGACCAATTCATACAGGATACATTCATCAGCGGCAATTAGCTTAGATGGGTAAATGGAACCTCCATGTGCAGAGGCATTACACCTCTGCCAGCAGCTTCTGGAAGGGCTGATGGAGCCTTTGGCCTTACTCTGCACCTTACTCTGAAGGTCTTCTGTTGGCATTTAACTGACTGTGGTGGGGAACAGGGTTCTAATATGGACTAGATTGACCCACTGACCTGATCCAGCAGAGCTCTTTCATGTAATTCTTTAGTCTGGGCAAATGAAGGCTAGCTAGGGTGGAGCATGTTTGTTTGTTTTTCTCCCCCTGGCAGGGTTTCTGTGCCTTTGATAGTGACATGCTAAGCAGAAATTCCACTGGTAAAGTGTTCTCCGCTTCTGCATTTTCTTTCTGGGAAAAGCTTCAATTCTGAATCTGAGCTTTTAAAAGTACAGGGACCCTAAGAAGGATACATATGTTGTTGCACCCAGCAACAGAAGCAGGAGAGGCTGGCTATTTCCCCCTGATGTCTTGGCAGCCCAAAAGAGACTTATTAAATTCCTTCCTCCAGTACAACTTGGGCTCCTGGGCTGATTTCTATGAGGCTTTGACTGCAGTTGTCAGCAGCTCAGTGGATTCTGAAGAATACTGAGGTGTTGATGCTGGACACGTGAACCGCCTGTTTCCTTGCCAGTTATGTAGTAAGGCTGCTTGCAGTTTGCTGGAGTCTCCCGTGGGATCTCCCACTGTTGAGAATAACTCCTTTTTTTGGCTGCAAGCTGATCCCCCCGGCTCCAGTGTCCTGCACAGGCCCGGGAAATAAGGCCTGGGGGGGGATCAAAACTAGATTATAATCTTCATTCTCCTTAAGTTTTACACTCTTGCTCACCAGGAGTGCTCTGTGGGATCCACCCCAAACTACTCTGCTTTTATGATTTTTTAAAAATTCATTTCCGAGAAGGATTTATATGCTTATACTAGAAATGCCAGTATTGTGTCAAAATCAGACAAATTTGCAAAAAGGAAAGTTTTTTAGGGGCGGGCAGTAGTCAGTGGTTTATGTGGTGGTGGTGGAAAGTGCCCTCAAGTCACAGCTGACTTATGGTGACCCCCATGGGGTTTTCAAGGCAGGAGACATTCGGAGATGGTTTGCCATTGCCTGCCTCTGCATCACGACCAGGGGTCATTTCCTGCAGGAGCGCACAGGAGCGGAGCTCCGGCAGTAAAGAGCCCAGGGGGCGGGCACATGCAACAAGCCCCACCCCCTGCTCCCAGCAGCTCTCAGTCAGAGCAAGAAGCAGCCAGGTAAGTTGCAGAGCCCCCCCCCCCCCTCCAAAACAGTCCAGTGGCACCTTTAAGACCAAGTTTTATTCAGGTACAAGCTCTCCCTCCTCTGTGAGGACAGATCTGCACATTCCCCCCCCCCAATAGCTAGCAATCCAAAACAGTCCAGGGGAGCCTTAGCGGTGGGTGTTGCCTTCTGACACCCTTCCGGTGACACCAGGGGGTGTGGCACATGCAAATAAGTTATGGTAATGAGTTATGCTAATGAGCTCCTGCACTTCTTTTTCTATGAAATGACCCCTGATCATGACCCTGTTATTCCTTGGAGGTCTCCCATCCAAATACTAGCCAGGGCTGACCCTGCTTAGCTTCCGGGATCTGGTGAGATCAGGCTAGCCTGGGCTATCTAGGTCAGGGCAGCCAATGGTTTACAGTCAGAATAAATGAAGTCCTGTCTTTTTCGCCCTTCTCTTTTTAGATCACCCAGCTCAAGATTGAAAACAACCCATTTGCAAAAGGATTCAGAGGCAGCGATGACATGGAGCTGCACAGAATGTCAAGAATGCAAAGGTAAAATCTGCAGAGATTCTCTCTAAAGACAAAAATAGGTGATCGTCTTTCAGGTACATTTTCATCCTAAGAACTACGATGTGTCCAAATGCACATTGACTTGTTCAGTTGAGCTGCTGCTGTGTACAGACATTTATTCCTCTCTGGCATTACATTCTATGAAAAGTGCTTTTGCTTTTTGCAACTGAAATGAAAGGAGCATTGAGCTGATTGGCTAGTGCTTGCCCTGTCACCAGCTCATGTCTCCTTTCCTACTTTCCAATTTGCTCCTTCATTTTATGAAAGGAGAATCTAGCTGTGTGTGTACTTTATGTGAATACATGCTTGCATTTTGCTTCTAAGCATTGAAAAGGTAGATATCCTACTTTATATAAAATTCAGATTGTGGACATGAGTGTCTGTCCAATGCAGTGTGAAAGTGAAGGGAAGTCAATCACTCCAGGATGGATAAAACACTATGATAAAACATTCCAGGATGGATAAAACACTTGTGGATTAAAGCTGCGTTTACACACATCCTCTTATATTATGCAGGATATGCATTATTAGTGATACCGAGAGGTCTCTCTAGCTATATCTGAGGCTTACAAATGGCCATTCATTTGTGGCAGATGCTAAGAAGCATTTGTGAATTGGAAAAGAATCATGCCCAACAGTGTGAGATAGGCACGTGTGCTTAGTAAAGCACCATGGGCTAGTTAGTTATTTTTAAGAACCCTATCCTACATTCATAAGGATGGTTCATTTTAAGATGGAGAAAAACCAACTATATAAAACATACTTAAAGTGTCTTTAT